GACTGCCGGAAGAACGCTTGCACTTTTGACCTATCATCACTACGCGCCGTGTGTACAGTAGAATACATGCACAAGCACGCAAGTTTCCCGAACGAAAGCGAGACATCGGACAGCGGCACGAGAAAAAACCGCTTGAACGTTTCGAAAGCGATAGGACGGGGAACAAAGCGTGTGGTTGTGCCGCGAGCTCTAGTTTCATTCGTGAACAATGATGACAGAAGACCTGTTCTTCACGTGCAGTCTATCGGCCATTCACGATGGGCATCGAGTCTCTTCTGCTCGGTAAGTAGGTCACAGCACGGCAAGTATCGAGGAACAGGTTGATTGTGTCACACCCGTCGTTATTCGCCAAGAGAAATCCGCGGGTCTTGCCGTCCACCTTTTGCAGGCACCCACCAACAGTCGGCAGTGGGTCGGGAAGGCGCGGTTACACGGCGAGCGACACACCCAGCACACGCGAGGTAGTGCCTCAACCTCTGGAGTTTCGCCTTCAGGTAGACGCCCACTGGCTGACTCAGCGGGACGACAGTCGGGGCGCTTTGGTCTTCCTCCCCTGCGTCCTCCACTCCCGCCTCCTCCACTCCCGCCTCCTCCCCCTCCTCGTAAACTGCCTCGACACCAGCCTCTTCCCCCGCGTCCTCCACTTCCGTCTCCGCTCCCGCCCCCTCACCCGCCGCCTCCCCCGCCGCCTCCTCTTGCATGCGGCGGCCGTCATTGTCGATGGTTTCGTTGACAGGCTCGACCGGTACAGCTTCCTCGACTCTTTTCACGAGAGGACTCGACTCGGAGAACGGCTCGCGAGCCGGTTGCGTGCTGGGGAAGATTGTCAAGCACTTTACGCGCTTGTCCAGGTATATTCCCGGGCCGTAGACGCCCAGCTTCGGGGGCGCTAAGGTGCCCTCTGCTCGTATTCTTGCGAGATGTCTCATATCCAAGAAAGTTGAGCCCAAGCCGCTGGACCGGTCGTTCGTTGTTGGGGGGGAGAGTGGCATGAGGGTGGCGGTGCCGTCGCCTGTAGCCGCCGCTGTCGAGAGGTACGCGTGTCCCTGGTGGGGCATGCGAAGACAACGTCAAGCGTCCGGACAAGGGTATGCAAGGCTGGTCGAGAACGTGCTCGCACGCATGAAAACCTTCAACTCATCCCCTTGCCGAGCCAGGGGAGCTCAGCCGTCCGATCTCGTTATTGGCTAAGATGAAGTCAATTGTGTCCGACACCTTATCTTCCGAAATACGGAAGTACCTCCGAGCATGGTCTGTGAACTCACCGGCGAGTCTGCTGCAACCAGAACGTCCGTGTTGTCGGTGTCGACGTCCATTGGGCCGAAGCCCGACCGAGCATGAGGCCGACCAGTTCCCCCGAAAACGGCACTAGCAGCTGTTGTTGTCGACGCCTGTACATGAAAGGGAGGAAACCATCGGTGACGGGGCGTTGATTCGCGCAGATTCGTCTTTAGAACGTCTTCCAAGTCCGGAGTGCTATGTAGCAAATATATTGCCGGTTTTCGAAATATTTCAAGCATCCACAACAGAGGGCGATAGCGTACGTCGACTTGAGTATCATGTTGGAAGGAAAAGGTGCACGGGAGACAGCAGTTTGCGGCAGATAATGGGCTGTGCCCTTCCTCACGAATGTGCAACACAAAAGACACAGGCACAGCTTTAGCTCATGTCGGGTCCGTACATGGCCACTACGGCCCCGCATGTGATCTTCAAATAAATGTGTGTGGCGTGACGTCGTACTTCCCTATGTGCAACAAGAAAGTCCGCAAACGCGACCTACATTCCTCTGCAGGACGGTGCATGCGTGCAGGTCGGTCAGACCAAAGAGGAACCTATTGAAG